GCTTAATTCAAGTGGGCTGCACTGTTCTAGCTTTATTAACACACTTCTCCACATAACTGCGTAAACAGAGCTTCACTTATGTATCTCTAAATTTAAAATTTGAATCTTATGGATAGAATGGCATCAGTGTAATTACATAAAAAGAAAGCAAAAATATGGTTCTAGTTACCTTTCTTCGTCTTGTAGGGTCCGCCATTGGGGTGTATATCTTGTAATGGGATGGATACTACCTTGGCTAAGCCAGCATTCATCATATATTGATAGAGACGTTTGAAAGTTCTCTCACAAAGACCCTAATGCAAAGAGAAATAGCAAAAGTCATTGTAGCTCAAAAGTCTCGCCTCCCGGTGATTAGTATTAAAAGCATTCATACTGCCTGTTCTTAAAACACAGTATTTTAGGGTATGATATCAAAGAAGGATCTTAAAAGCCTGCTAGTGCAGACACCAGGCAGAGTGTGAGATGCTTCTGGACTGCATTCTGCCCCTCAAACTCTACTGTCCAAACAAGCAGCAGCAGCATCATGCAAGTAAGAATTGCATAATGATATTCATTAACAAAACTTTTCTAAAACTGTCGATCGAATAGAACTCCCTGCTTATTGTAAACAGTAACTTGATCCAGTAGGTTAAGAGCCTTCTTTTGATACCCTACCCCAAAATAGTGTGCAACTTTAAAGAAAGAGGCAGTATGAATGAATGCCTTTGAGACCAATCATCTAGATTCTACATGAGTGAGAATTTGAAAGAGATTAATGAATCTCACCAGTTCTTCCCTCAAGTTTCCTAATGTTTCCATCTGGTTTGAACGAGCACTTAGCATACTTGAGAGCTTCTCCATCAGAATATCATATTTGCTCCTCCTAATCAAGAAAAGAAAATTATTTTATGTGTAAGCATGCATATAACTTTATAAACATGAGTTGTACCTTTACGAAATGTCAGTCACTAGAGAAAGTATGCTGAAGTGTTCTCAGGTTGTTTCAGGAATTGTAGTTTTCTTTTCCTTCTGTGAATAGCACAGGAGAGAATTTGACACTAAGAGAAGACCCCAACTGAGGGAACAGTGACTCAGTTCAGGCTGTTACTTCATTGGCAATCCACAGAAGCACAAGTTCTAACCATAAACAAAATAGGAAAACAAATTAAAATTTCTATTAGAAATGTGTTTGAAGCGAGAACACTCAAAATTAACAGAGCAATTAGTGCTACAATAAGAAGAGTTAGGCTCACACAGGCAAATAACAGGCACTAGAATACCCTATTGTTTCCAGTTCCAAGACAAGTAAGCTTTAACCATGCAGCATTTAGAAGAGGAGTTAATAAAGAAATTGAGAAGGGTCAATACCAGGCAACTTTGATGGTTCTGTGACAACAGAGCAAACTCTCCTCACAGTGAAAGGTCACAGTCTACCCAGGAGATCTGTAAAACATCTGAGTGGCACATACCTATCAACATGAAAGCGAGTCAGAAGTAGAAGAATCGAGTGTTGCTGTGCTCCACTTGGTAGTCTTATGACATGGGACTGCATTGTTATGAGACCATTTCTGTCCAATACTCTTCGGTGATAATGAATTTTTCCAGCATCCACTCTAAAGAAAAGACAGCAAGATATCCATTGGCATAGGAACTTCTGCAAATAAATTCTAATTATCCGGTACCCCAAAACATTTTACCTATATTACCTATGGTCGTAGCTATGTATGTTATGTTAATTTTCAATTTTTGTGACAATCGCAAAATTAGTACGTACCCAAATGAAGATAACCTGTGAAACTGATTTTCATAGTTGATCCAATTAAGCAGAAATACCTCTGATTTTAACCTACAGCCTCTATGCACAATATCCATGCAATGACATGGTTTGATGAGACAGCTGAACCAATACTGTACCCCCATGCCCTCTTTCTCCACCTTCTCTTTCTAACTCCTGGCTACAGCACAACCACTCCTCCTCTTGTAATAGCTCTGGTGTTCATGTCACTCCTCAGTGAGCTGACTCAGACCACTGAACTGATAGAAAAGTACCCACACAAGATTTCCCCTCTGCCCCCATCATCTCAGTTACCTAAAAGAGCTTCCTAAGTGGCAAAAAACAACGCCAGCGTGGTTTGCTAGCTACATAGGCTTCATCTCCTAAAAGCAGCGAATCGTTCACAGGAATGCTAATATTCTCCAGCACGGCAATACAAAACCAGAAGCCCCCTAAGAGGCTGTGCAATGCTTCTCCATCAACAAAACACAGTCTAATCTGGGAGCTGGTAACGCAGACTCCCATTCAGGTCATATAGAGGAAGATGTCACACAGGGCAAATGCTGGGGACAAGAGTTGGGTGTGCAAGAATCTCATCAGAACTTGGGCAGGATTAAGATGCTTACTAGGCAGTTTAGAAAAAGAAAGTAAAATCATCATTTCATCCCAAATTTGAAGAAAAAGCGACTTAGAGAAAGCAAGAACTCCCACAAATTAGAAACGTGTATTGATCCAATAGACAATCTCTGTTCCCATGAGAAAAATATCAGGAAGTGTAATGAACTCAAGGAAGAGACCAGTATCATTCTAGCAATACAGGCTCCAGGGAACCCAGGGCTCCTGGTAGTAAGGATGAGACACTACCAATACAGATACGAGTTTAAATCAATACACAGGAATTCTTAAGTGGACAGATCTTTATAAATAACCAGTGGAAACTGATTAATTCATATAGCAAGATATGAACTTACTTGAAAGCCCCACTGTGAAGGTCCCTCTGAAGCTCTCCTTGCCACCTAGCACGACCTAAACGCTCCAATATACAGTAGGAGAAGTCAGGGAGTTTTAAGTCAGGGTCCCCCTCCCAGCCTATTAAAGCTCTGTAACGCTGGTCTTGGGAAGCCACTATGACTAGTTTCTCTCCCCATCTAAGAAACAGAAAGGAAAGTAATAAATTATTATTAGTTCCATAAAACCAGAAAGATTAATCCCCCCTCCCCCACCCCAACACCATTCTTGATATAACCTGCACAAACTGAGTGAGAACTAAATTTTAAAACTTAAGTTAAAAGTTTTTTAATGACAGATATAAGGATTTCACTCACTTTTCAACAGCTTCTACATAAGTATAAGACGGCTGCAAATCCTTCCTCCTTATTTGATCAGTGATATCTACTCTCTCTTTGAAATACTGGCAGGAACCTTGTATGCCATCTTTATTATCCAAAATCATGTGGACAGGATAAATGTCATCTGAAGGAACAGGATCTCTTTTGGTTTCCAGTATCCCCGTTTCAAGGTCTATTTCTTCATAACTGAAATAAAGGCAGAGAGCCAACATTTAACCAAGCAACGGGAATTTGGAACTGAAATAGAAGACAGCCACAAACAATGCTGATACCTCTATAAAGTAACTTGGAAAAATGAAACTCTTTTGAAACCTCAAAACTGGAAAAAACATAAAGAACAGAGTTCCACTCCTTGAGTATGACTAAAGCTTATCAGCACGCAGAATATATGAGGGAAATACCCTATTTATTCTTCAAAAATTAAAGTATATTGAAGTGGTGAAAAAAAAAGAAACACATATAAGTACTAGTTTAGAGGAAAGGAGAACAACAGATACATCCACCCTGGTGAACAGGGACGTATAAATTCTGCTCATGCCTCAGCGGCAAACAGTCATGAGAACGGAAACCTCCCCGGGACCCCTCTACGGCCTTCAAACCCGGCTCGGCCT